TCATGCACCCATGAGCATCCTTTAAAACATGTGTTTTAAGGGACTTAAAAGTTAATTTTTTGTGAATATCTTAGATACTTTTGACCATGGATTCTGGAAAAAGAAAGACTCGGTACAATTTCAAGAATCCTAATATAGATGAATTGGTGAGTCTAATTCCTAAGATCGAGAGTTCTACAGATTTTCGGAAGAAGTATGGGTCCATCGTGTCTCTTATGAAGCTCAGGATGAAAGAGGGTATTCTCTCGACGTTGGTCTAGTTCTACGAACCGATGTATCGATGTTTCACTTTCGATGATTATGAGTTGATGCCTACATTGGAGGAGTACTCTCATCTACTAGGATTACCTGTCACCGATCGTGTTCCTTTCACCGGTTTGGAGGAAGAGCCAAAGTCCCATGAAATAGCTGCTATGGTTCATTTTGGGAAGTCTGAGATTGAGTCCCACATGACTACCAAAGGAGGAATTATAGGATTAACCGCTCAGTTTTTATTATAGAAATCTCGCTACTTTTCTAGGATGAAGAGTACAATTGCTTTTGAGGCTATCTTTGCTCTACTTGCTTATGGGTTGTTCTTATTTCCGAACATCGACAAATTTGCGGATATTAATGCCATCAAGATATTTTTGATAGGGAACCAGTCCCTACATTATTAGGAGATTCTTATTACTCCACTCATATTCGGGATTTTTATCATGGAGGGATGATCATTTGTTGCACGCCTTTGTTGTATCATTGGTTTTTTTCTCACTTACCTCGATCTGATGCTTTCTGGGACATCAAGAAAGAACCTCGTTGGGCTCCAAAGATTATGGCCCTCACTCATTCAAATATTTTTTTGTATCATCGGGCTTAACATGATGTGAATATTATCGATAGTTGTGGTAGTTTCCCTAATGTACCTCTTCTTGGTACAAAGGGAGGAATTAACTACAATCCCGTTCTTGCACGATGTCATCTTGGATATCCGATGGAAGATAAGCCAAATAGTATTCATCTGAGTGGTTTCTTTCTCAAAGAGGGAGAAGACCATAAGGAATCTAAAGAGGAGTTTTCAAAGGCTTGGCGCCATATTCATAGGAAGAGTAGAAAGGACTTGGGACCAAGAGGAGCTGTTTCTTTGGAACCATATCTCTGATGGGTACAATCGAGGGCAATTCAGTTGAAGATGCCATATTATCGTGAGGAACCTTTGCATGATATGTTTGTGAAGACCACTCCTCCCATTTTAGATGATGTGGAAGAGCTTCAGCTTGCCCTAGTTAGGATGCAATAGCAGAAAGAAGCTTGGAATAACAAGTGTCAAACTTTAGAGATGTCCTACCCAGCAGACTTGAAGGAGAAGGATGACCTAATTGAGATTATTGAGAGTCATGTTATAGGGATGATGGAGAGGAAAGAGGATTTATTTTCCTCTAGAGCTCGATCCAAAATTAGTTACTCACTTCCTGACTCTGGTGATTGGAAAAGGGTCGTCGACAGGTATGTAGAAGAGAACAAGCAGTTGAAGGCTCAAATTGCAAGACTCACGGGAAAGCACCAGTGCGTGGAGGAATATTCATCAGCTTTACCTTCTTAGGATTTTAGATTCTATCTTCTTTTCTACTTGGGATTGTTGAAACTTGTACTAAAAAGCTATAACCCATTTTAAAGTTATTATAATGAGATTTTCAGTATTTCAAAATGTGTTAGTACTTTAGTATTCGCTAATTGTCTATAATTATTTGAGACCCTTAGAATATTAATAATAATAAAATAAATCATGTTCATTGCATATCATGCATCATCTTGTACATACTTCTTACATTTCGGTTCATACCCAGGTGTCTTACTGTGTTTCTCTACTTCGTTCAGCAAGCTGTTGTAATACCCCAAATTTGTCCTACCTTTTTTTCTTTTATCAGGCTTATACATCTCGCACTTTTCTCATGTACTTAACTTCCATTAGGTCATGTAACACATCATGCTTCCTTATCAATATCTTAGCATAGGATCAGAGAACTTAAGGGATTAAGGTTTCTCTATGTTTTAAGGTTCTCATTTCACTCAAGCTTATATCGACTGGTTATTTCATCAACTATGGTTTGTGGGGCCAAGGTTTGGTTTCTTTTCATCACCACAAGGATCACTGGATTAATATTTCTCAGTTTGTATTTTATAAGGTCCCTTAGGGTAAAGCTTTTAACAAAGAAAAATTGCAAGATAATTTGGAATTTTGAACTTAGGGGCTCAAGGTAATACAAATTTGTCATTGAGATTTGGAGTTAATGACTTGTCAAGATAATCAAAGTTTCTTAAGGTTCAAGCAATTCTTTCATGGTCTATCTTGAAATCAAAGAATAAGCCACCAATTCAAAATTGTAAGGCATGTTCATTCAAAGTCCTTTCAAGTGTTTTTTTATTCTAGTCCGACAAATGGATGCATATTCTAAAGATTGAAAGACTTGTTCAAAATTAAAACAATTACTCAAGGCATACATCATCATTGCTAAAAGGGTTCATATTCAAATTTCTAGTTTTGTTCAATTATTCTTCATCATTCAACTTTGTTCATGAGGCCTATTCCGGTTGCAATTCAAGGAAAAGTATGAAATTATATGGAATCATTTAGCTTACTTCAAGTTCCTATTTGAGGCCAAGGTTTTCATACAAAGCTCAAAACCCATTCAAAGTCATCATTTCCAAATCGAAGGAAAATTTGAGGCTTACAAAGATTACTTCTATTACAAGGTCCTAAAGGCCATGATAGTTTAGAAGAATACATCACAAGTTTATAAGTTACCTATGTACCTAAAGTTTATCTCTTGCTCCAATCTTCAAATTCCATAATTCATCTCCATCTGCATATTTCCATCTGATTTCATCCATATTCAACCAAACATACTGTCATCTTTATGCTAAACCTACAGCTGTATTAAAAATGTCCCAAGTTTGTAGAGAGTGCTTTAAACCTACATATAATTCAGTGTATAATCAGCCATGCATACAAGAACCCCACATTAAATAGGAAAACCCATAATAACATCCAACCTGCATATATTTAACAGTCCAAAAACAAACTTTAAGCTTCAGAATTAGCAATTCAAATAACTCCTATGACTCATCATCATTTAGAAAACAATGCAAACATAATAAAGTGTGAAATCAACGCAAACTACAGCAAACCACGTATATCTACAGAACCGTAATTTGCATTGTTATGCTCATATCTGTAACATTACATCAAAGGCCGATAAAAGAATAGCAAACATGTGGGGATTTAAGGCATCTCATAGTCGAAGCCTACATGGAAAGGAATTTCATAGATGCACCAGTTCAACATGATCACTACATATGTCTTAAGCAAGTATCAACAATTCAGTATGTCTATTATCTAAAAATTCAAGTGCAACAAAAATCAAAATTTTGCACTGAGTTCAAAAAGAAAATAAGAAGCAGGGGGAGATACCGCCCCAAAGGAATAGTCATGCATACAGTACAGACATCCACATGGATAAGGTTTATTCAATTGCATACCAGTCAGAAACAAAAATATATATAACAGAAGCAATTCTGCACCATATCAGAAGCGTGAACAAAACTGATTCACATTCCATGGACTTGATTAAAGATAACCGAAACAAATTGAAATTCAAAAAAATAAATTGTAACTAACTATTTAACCCTTCTCAATTTCCCTCTTGGGAAAAATCAAGTTCGCAAAAAACTTCCAAAACATTCCCCAACAGAAAACACATCCTAACTAGTTAACCAGTCATTTTCCTGACTTCTTAACTGTCAGATTATTAACCTCCTAAGCAGCCAATGACTAACTCAAGGTTTTAACGAAAATGATAATAGAATACAAAATCTAAAACTTCCTCTAACAACCCCCTTACTGTTTTCTAACCGACTTCCCAATCTTCCAAACCGCTAACAGAATTCTAGCAAAAACTTGGAAAAATGGATCAAAATCTAACATTCTAATCTCTTATCCTCACCATTCATTTTCTAACAAAACTTAGAATTCATTAACCTCCTCTCTAACAGAACTTCCTAACAGAAAACAAACTGTAACCAACCTTCCAAAACAGCCAGCTAACTGTTTATAACAACCTCTAACCGAAACAGAAACTCCTAACCAACCAACAGACTTATAAAGAAAAACAAAAAATAACTAACAATCACTCATAATTGTCATAACCTAACAACTTCTTAACTAACTGATTTCATGACCAACAACTAACATCTTTTCATAACCACCTATAACAGAAAAATCAGTAGGATACAAAATTCCTAAACTAACTCTCCATCCTATAAGTCACCCTTCTAACTGCCAACCCCCAACCCTCTAACAAACTTCAAAAAGAGAGGTATAATAGAATTCGACAGAAAACAGAAAAAGATGGAGGGATTTTTTCATGATTCATATAGAAAAATCATTCATAAAAGATATTCAGGGAGAACTCACCAAAAAACTCTGAAATCTCTCTCGAGATATCTGCTTCCATTCTTAAATATTCATCTTTCTCAAAGATCAATATCCATCATCATCATCATCATCATCATTACCTCTTGCTTTCTCTCTCTCTCTCTCTCTCTCTCTCTCTCTCTCTCTCTCTCTCTCTCTCTCTCTACAATTCCTTTGTGAATCCTTCATCATCTGGACATCTTCTCGGAGCCTTTAATCATCATCATTAATATTCTGCAATTCCTCTACCATTCTTCATCTCATCATTCTCTATGCCTTTCTCCAAACACCATTCTACACCACATCCGTAACCTCAACCTTTATCACACCATGATCTTCATTATCACCACCACGCAAGTTCTGCATCAATCATTTCCCGTCGTTCTCACTGCACACAACAACAATAATAACATCATCACAATTGGAGAATGTGCAGAAAAGGAAGAGTGAAGAGTGAACAGAAGGAAAGAGCATAAGTACCTTTTTATTCCCATCATCTTCATCACGTCGAAACCGATCCAGAGGTCGAAGCTGAGACTTTAGTGGTATGAAGTCTCAGCGGGTGGAACTGAGCGCGATTGAAGAAGCAAGATCGACGGAGAAGGAAAAAGGCGTAGAGGAATGTGAATATGATGGAATAATCTGTGAAGTTGAAGCAAATACGGATGATGATATGACGACAAAGACGATGGTGTCACGGTGTTGGAGAGGAATCGTATGTGAAGGGGAAAGAAAGATCGCTCCGCTGTTGAATCTGAGAAGAGGAAGACGAGTCTTCATGAAGCTCAAGGGTCATAAATTTCAACCTTAAAATCCTTTCCAAACGATGCGTTTTTGGTGTTGTTTCATTAACTGCTCATTTTAGTTTTTTGGAAAATAATAAAAGATTATGATTGTTTGCTATTGGATTTTGGTGGACCAAGCTAATTTCAGGGAGGCCCATGACCATTTTCTCTTTTGAAGAAACATGAGAATTAACGCAAAAGTAGCATTGGACTTATCCTAACCCTGAACCTAGCGCCTTACTTCAGCACACCTCCTGGATTCCAGCTTGCACACTCCCTGGGCCTCCTTTTCCTATTTTGTAATTTCTCTTGGACGATTTGGATAATTGTTTAGATTTGTTTGAATTTTTTCACATGACAAAAATAATAAAATCAATAAAGATTTTTTATATTTTTATTCGATTTTTAGATTTAAATCAAGATAATCTGATTACTTAATATTTATAATTCACCTTTACTTGTTGAGATATGAGTCTTATGCAGATTTATTGTACGGTATGCGAATATTCTTGAGATTTCGATTCTGATTTATTTTCACATCGACGATGCTTCAAAACTTATTCCTAGAATTTGATTTTTGTCTCTTTTCTTTGATTGGTGAAGCTTTCGCAAAGATCGTCAGCTTTTATTATTTTGATACGCTTCACTATGGATTGATATATGTTTGGTATTTTCTCTTGTTTATTCCTCATTTCTCCACTTTACCGCTTATCTAGAGATCATGAGAAGTTGGGCTTTACTGATTTCTAATGCCATGAGAAGTAGGGTAGATATGTATGATGGGGGTCTCCGTTATTGATCATGTCAGGAACCCCTCTGGTTTATTTAAAGACCCATTTAGGGCAATTCCGCATTGTGTGCATTATGTTTGCTACTTGTGTGTGGTTTGTTTAAAACCCTTCCTTTGAGTAGGTATTTTGCATGTGTGTTTATATTTGTGCCTGCATATGTACAGATGAGAAGTCCTCAAAAATAGGTGAGCAGGGAGGGTTCGCAATTAACCCCCGCAGTTTCGTCTGTGTCATCTTTAGCTCGTGATGCACCATGAAGCTTCGGAGTTGTGCCTGCTCTTATGTATAGAGTCATCAAGTGGGGAAGGGTTCCGCAATCGAATCCCCATGCTTTCTCAGGAGTTCGCATTGGCCGATGCTGATACTCCGTGATCGTTCGTATTGTCTTTTGTCGCTTACCACGATCTCCTATATCTTGGTTAGGTGTTAATTCGCTTTGGACATCACATTTTTGTTTATTTCATCCTATTCCCGCTTGTTTGTCTCGGGTGATACGCTCCCCTTGGCTAAAGTATTTCACTTCTTTTCCTTACTCTTTTATGTGTGTGCTATTTCGAGCTTTCTTGTTTTATCCTTGTACATACCATGTTCCCTTAGGATGCGCTTGCTCCTTTCGGATGCAAGTTTGACCTTAGGTTGCAAACCATGCATGCTAACATTAGGTAGACATTTCCCTTCTGTTAATCCAAATCGTAGGGTTACCATTGTGTGATAACATTAGGTTATAAATAGGATAGTATCCCTTAGACTCTTTTATTCCCTTTTTTGCATCCTTGCATTCAAAACTAAAACTTCCTTTCTTAGCAAATCAAAAACATGTTAATCACACTTAAACCCTTTTTCAAGGTAACAAAATACAAACCAACTCAAACCTTTTTGTGCTCCCATGTGCTTTCTCTCTAAAACCCTTTTCAGATAAGGACATAATTAATTTACTTTTGTGCCAATGCGTGGGTCTCCAAAGGTCGAGCTACGGCAAAAGGAGGAATTAACATTATTCATAAAAAACACAAAACAAACATAAACATGTCAGCCGAACTACGGTAACCCTGATTCCTCAAAAAGGATACATAAGCATTGAGGTAGGGCCCAAGCGAGTACAACTTTATTTTCCCTACATTCTTTTCTCATTTCTTTTGAATGCATTTTTATTAGTAGTAAATAGTTAGAATAGATTAAACACACACCATAAGATAGACAACAAGAGTGGATACCGTAGAGTACTACGGGCATGTGAGGTGCTAATACCTTTCCTTTGCATAACATACTCCCTTACCCGGTCTCTCGGTTGCAAGATCGTGACTTCTCCCTTCTTAGGTTTTCTTGATGTTTACCTTTCCATTCCCGTGGGATAAAAGACGTTCAATGGCGACTTCATTGTTTGATGATTTTCAGCCAATTGTTTCAGTTGGCGACTTCACTGGGGACTGGTCGACCAAATGCTGGTCCATCCTGGAGTCGCTCCTAGCTCTTGTTTCCTTTCTTTGGGTGTTTATTTTAATTCTTTCATTTTATTCATTCACACATGATTACCTGAGCATACGTATGCATTGCATTTTATTGATTTCGATATTGATTATCTGCTGTGTTGGTTTCTGGTTTTCCATGTTGGGTGGGAGATACAAGAGGTAAAAGGCCTCGTACCAAGGCTATGAGTGAATTCCATAGGAGCTAGGGATAAAGTGGCCATGGAGGCTACGAGGCGTATGTCTTGTAGATCCCGACCATAAGATCCATGACTTCAGAGGAGGTACGGAGGAGCTTCATTGTATGATGATACTAACATACGAACTCTTTGACTCTGATTAGACCACTGGCCTTACCCTGACCTAGTTTTCACCCGTGAGTGAGGAGGGAATTATTATCACAGGTATAGACGGTGACTATTTCAGATGGAGACCGTATGTTCTGTTGGTGGCTATGGTTCTCAAATTTATTTTGAGTTCCTGACTTATTTACTTGGAGGTTCATTCTGGCCTTCGATCTTGGTATTCCCAACATTTTCAGAAAAGGTTCAGCAGTATTCGGTATTCCAGAAGCATTGATTCCATACAACTGGTAACCTACATGGTACCTAGTTCTTATATGTACGGGGTCTATGTCAGACATTTGATCAGGTGATATTCATATGTTTAAGAACAGTGCAATAATCATATTCAGAAGTGATGGAACTTTGATCCAATTTGATCCCATGTATTTGCATACATAACATGGTCAACCACATTATTAACATACATGTTCTGTTATTTCCAAGGAATCGTATTTGTAAGCCTTGTGCTAAACTTTTCCATCCCTTATCTGCGTAAAATTAAAATCGAAGCACATAAACTCCTTGGAAATGACAGAACGTGGCATTGAATCCATACATGCACCCCATGCACATTCATGCATCCATAACAGGTACTTGAACATTGGGGATTCTTATTCAGACTTGATATTCTCTTTAGAGTTACAAATTGGGATTTCTTATTGTCACATGCTCAAAGATCAGTTATGGAATGACTCTATATGGTATACATACAATCTTTGGCCTGTGATCGGAAATTCTTCAAGAAGGAAGATAATCGATTGAAGACTCAGATGAGCCAGGTCATGGAAGCTCTGATGATGATGGCAATAATCTTACACTTACTGCCACAACATGTTCTATCTTCCCGTTATATTTTGAGGAATGCTTTCAACCATGGAGTGCTACACAATCTTTAATTCTTAGAACATCTTATTAGCATATGGTCACCATTTACTATTAGATCTTATATCAGTTCTTCATTATCATTGACCAACGTCATATGTGGTTACTACACTGGGGCATCCAACTATTCAATCAGGGGCATTATCTACAACTTTGTGTTCCCTAATTTTTTCAACATTAGTCAGTCTTTGTTCCCTCAAGTGAATTCATTGGGCTAGGATTTTAAGCAAAAACAGAAGAAGCCTGATGAGCATGCTGACGCGACCCCAACGCATTACATCAAGTTATTTTCTCTCCCGGTGGAAGTTTAATTGATAATGCTCTAATCTTTGGGGTCCTCCTTCCACAAACATCTATTTTAATTGCGTTACACATGCTAGATTTATCCCCTATTACGGGGCACCCAGTTTTAATATTGAAAACTGTAAAGGGGTTGAAGTATAAAGCCCAACACCTGTCGGGCGTTTCTTCTAAAAGTCTAATTCCTATTTGGCCACCTGGTAAGAAAGAGTCCAACAGTTGGCCAACATACAAAGTAAGAAAAACTCTAATCTTTGCTGTCTCTGGTTGGTATGATTTTGAGTAAGACGCCGCTGACGACATACAAGCCTTGTTCCTATTTCTAAACATTGGAGATATAATGGAGATAGACCCTCGTTAACCCCTCTGAACCTTCAAAGTAGAAGTATCTTTTATGTTCAGAAAAAACCTTCATTTTAACTCTGGGGCGAGTAATGTTAAGTTAATTTTATCAAGCGTTCAAAACTCGTTAAGAGTGTGAATCCAAGGATACAACAATGGTTATCCATCAAATCATTGAGGAAAGTTAAAACCACAATGGTTATCCCTCATATATCAAGAAATATGCATCAATTAACGATATTGTTGTACCCCAATTTTCCCCCTAAGATCCCTTCACCATACCGTATTGATTCAATCACAACAAGATCACATTAGGGCTTTTGGTTCTACTTCCTATCTTTAGCTTTACTCTTTGAGGAATAACCAAGCATCTTGACTTGTTTTTCTTGTGTAATCATTCATGTTTTTGTTTTGACTTTCCTTTTAATTAATAAAATGCAATGTTGGTTTGTCTTACTTGTCAACAATGCGGGTAAAGGAAATGGGGCTTATCAAGTTGATCCATGGGTTCATGAGTTTATTTCCATGACCTAGTCAATGTAGCTTGAGAAGTTAAAACCTCACCATTGAAGTTGTTTTGGAAGGGATGGCATGGCAAGGTTATTTTGGTTCACTACATTTCCAATTTATCAAGATTTGATTCAAAAAGTACGAGGGGTTGATTGAAAAATAGTCATGGTTGGACAAGGTCTTATTCCCATTGGTCACAGGTGCATATTTCTCTCAATTATCAAGATATGGAAGTGGTTGTGGTTGCTATAACTTCTCATTATCATCCTCAACAACTTATATTTACAAAGAATTTGTTTTGGTACAAGAAGTTTGTTCAAAATTATCAAAGTTCCTCAAAGCATTTTCTTGATCTAGAAGTTAGGATTTTGAACTTCAATGAAGCATATCT